ACACAGCTTCCCTCACTTCTAGAGATTGTGTCCAAACAGATTGATTTATTTTGTCAAAGCTACAGATTTCATATTTCAGTATAGATATTTGTAGCATGAACTCCTGCATGATCACTTTTTAAGACAGTTTGCTGTTGAGTTAATAAACATTTAATAAGGGTTAATTATAAAAGAAATTCCAGTCCCGTTTCTGTCATCTTTTAGTCAAGTTTACCCAGGTACAGCTTATTTTGGTACATGACAGTATGTGTTCCAGGCGCAATTACAACAAGGTTGTGTTGAGCAGTGTGGCAACCTCAAATTAGACACGTACGTATGTTGGAAGTCATATATGATGATTGCAGTGTTATTTTAATCTTGAGCAGTTACAGAAGGACATCAGACCAGATACAAACTCTTGGCAGTTGTTCTCAACAAATCAGACAGGCAGCTCGCTAGAGAGCGGTTAAGACACCTCTTGTTAAATTGTTGGTGTTTTTGTGCTCTTGCTTTGTTGTAATATGTGACTGTCCCTCTTACGGTCTCCTCTGGGTTTTAACCATCTCCAGCTGTGCATGCTGTGTTCGGTGGGTTACCACCTGTTCTGCTGCCATCGCTCAGAGAAGACCAGCCGCCGCTGGATGGCGCTGGATTATGCTGGTGTCTCCATCGGCATCCTGGGCTGCTACGTCCCCGGAGTCTTTTACACCTTCTACTGCAATAATGTAAGTTCAGCCTGCAAGTTCACTTCTCTAGTTTTATCTTGATTTGTGAGTTTTGATTTGCTTTTAACAGTACTAATACCTATACTGCTTATTAAACTGATACTTTGCTTCTATCAGTTGTTGTTTTTTGTTTGTTTTAGTTAAAAATTTACCAAGAGAGTTAACATTGCTTTTTCTTATTTTCTCATATTTACAGTTAACATTCTTGAGTAGCAAATTGCAACAGCACTGTTTTGAACATACCACTAGACCATAATGTGATTACTGACATGGGGGGGGGGAACGTTAAGTACAAGACTTTTTTTTTTTTTTTTGACAGTTTTTTTTAGTATTTTTACTGCGAGGTGCCTCCGAACCCCAGCTCTTTATATACACCCCTACTCTGAGCGCTCTCAAGTGAAACTGAACTTCTGATGGTTTGACCACTGCAAATTGAATTTATGAATGAACCCACAACAGTCAGCTGGCAAATGGTTGTTTTTATTCATTAGCCCATGTTTGTATACTTCTGCTAACTCCGTGCGCGAGCTCTAGGCTGCTTAAATACATAACACGCCTGGGCAAGGAGAGAAACTGCGAGCTAGTCAGTGGGAACCCGCGTTTCTCTCTGGTGGACTTTCACTAGATATTTCAACAGATTGCTGGGGATCTTGCCTTTACACACAAAAGACCAGAAGCAAACCTGGAGCGCTGCATGTTCACAACGCACAGATTATAAATCTGAGTTTGTTTAAAGCGTTCATATTTACGCAAAAAAACACTGACTAATCTGAGTTTGCGTTGAGAGCTGAAAAGTGTGAAAACGTCCTCATACTTGATGCGACAGACACATTTTCCATGTGCAGCCCTCGTCTGCTGCTCATATCAGTGATGATCAGAGAACTGAGGCCCTTTAGCAGATAATGTGTGAGCATCAGTGCACTGATCATCTTTTTAACATCTAACTGCAGTCCTCCCCGGAGACAGTTTAGCTCAACATCCCGGGCCTTTGAGAAGCAGTAATTGAATAAAGCTGAAGTGGAGCTCGCAGCCTGGCTCTGCTGATTGACTCATTGTTCTGGTGAATAAGCTGTGCTCGCCGTTTGGAACCCAGCCTCTGATGACACAGGCCCGTTTCAGTTCCTTATTCCAGCCGCCCACCAACATGTTTTTTTCCTGTGCTGTTTGCTTCTTTTTTTTTTAAACTCCTCGAGTGTTTGGCCATGTTACTTACTGTTCGCTTTCCCCCGCATATTAGAAGCGCTGGGTTATTTTGCCCCCAGAACGCAGCTGAAATCTGCTCCAGCCCAAACCAGATGGCTGTGTTCACGGAGCGGTCCGTCACTCCTGTTCCCCACCATATGACGTTCGCAAGTCTGAGAGCCGTCTCAGCGAAGGGTCCCCCCCCCGCCCCCCGTCCTTGCCAAGACTGGGGCTCCGCTTCTGGGTCGCTCCACTCCTGTGGCAAGCCAAGTCCCCAAAGAAAAACTGATTTTTATATTTAGCCAGTCAAACTCTTGTCTCGTCAGAGAGCTTTAGGATGGCAGATTTGGAGGAGAGAACACGGTGGCTGTTAGGAGAAGAGCTTAAAAAACTTGGCTGGCGCCCGGGGGGGG